CTGAATATTTAGAATGTGTGTATTCACTTTTAAAATTAATATTCATTGAATTAAAGAAGATGCATCCCTATAAGCAAAAAATAGGATCTCTGATTGTGGAGAATAAACATCTCAGTCCTATTTCTCTTGCATCTGTGAAGTTCTTAAGCATAAAATCTTTTGTGGTTGTAATTCAGCCTACTTTTGTTTATAACTTTGCTGTTGCATGTACGAAATGGGAGAAAAGAAGACAAAAGTAATTAAAGTACTGATGGGAGATAAAAACAATTGTAAGGTATAAGAAGGAGGCAGACTAATAGAGACTGAGATGAGATTGGAATATTAAGCTGCTGTCAGCAGTAGCCAGGAAAAAAAAAAAAGGCATTTTGTCATTATTATGAGTTGGTTGTTGGAAGAGAAAGATGAGCAGAGTCAAAGAGAACATGATGAATTGTTTCTGAAGAGAGTCCTGCAGAGTGTTTAGATTTCTATGAGTTGTATTGCACGTGTATTGTGATTACTGTCCTTAAAATACTTGAAAGGTAAAAAGGAAGAATTTTAGTTTGGGAATGAATGCTGTTGTGAGAGTGCCACCTGGTTGATAGGACTGAAGTAGAGTTCTGCAAACTGTCAGAAATTCAGTTAAGCTTTCAGAGCAAAAGGGTGTATCAGTTTTCCTTTTGTATTTAATTGAACACTATCAGAGTGAAGGACACGCATCCAGAACATCTGTGTTACAAAGTTAAGGATTTGTGCAAATGGTTTTACAGTGGCATGAAGCTACATATGCTTAGCATTAGATATACTGGTCTCCAGATTGATCCACAGAAACACTCTTTTAGGTGCGAGACAGGAACTTACCATCAGTTGCAGCAGCATTTTTTGGAGACTTGGAGTTACAGGCACTTTGTGTGCTCAATATGTTCTAGTCATTTAACACACAATAATGTAAGAGTTGAGGTATATGAGGCTTCTGTTTGATACAGATTTTCACTGTGTATCAAACTGCGATCTAAAAACAATTTCTGCAGTGGATGGGGAAAAGAACACTGACAAATTTCTGGGGAGAGATTTCCTCTAAACCATGACAATAGTAAATACTTTTGTTGTAAACCATAGAAGGGGACATGCTGATAAAGTGATAGGCAGGCTGGCTTATTTTTGTTTCTTACTGTAAAAAAGTCCATTTCCAGAGCTAACTGTTAAGCTCATAGCCCCTTTAATGCCATATACACCTGAAATAATTTTTTCTCTTCAGATATCTGAATGCTTTTTAACAAGTATACAGTAATCTGTCTATTCAAGATTCTTGTCATATTCTTTTGCAGCAATAAAGTGGTAGTGTTACTTCTTTTCCTTTAAAATATAATGAAAATGGGATTCCATCTGAGACAGAAATGTAAGCTGAGTTCTAGTAATTTGACTACTCTTGGATAAAATGTGAACTTCAAGAACACTTTTTTTTTTCATAGAACTCCTCTAGAGTTATTCATCTCACTGGATTAGTTCACATCCTCTTCATATGTACAGTCATTGTAGACCTTGGAAACTGTAACGTAGTACACAGATTTAGATATTAGGAACATTATGTGTATTTGTGACAATTCCAGGAGGATTTTATATCTTCAGAGAGTTACTAGCTGTAAGTACATTGATCACTTCTAGCTGTGGCACCAATACTATGGATGATCTTTATGTGATATATTATTCTAAAACTTAAATTTCTAACATTAATTTGATAGAGCCATCTTTAATTTGTTCTTTCAAACTGTGTGTTTTGGGGTAGTTTATCAATATAAAGTAACTTCAGTGCCATTAGTCAGAAGTTCTTTTAGGTGGATTTTTTGGATCATCCATATGGTTTTGACATTTAGACCAGCAGCACAAAATAAGTAGTAACAGGATTAGGCTATTATTGATGTCTTCTCTGGTTCAAATCCCCAGAGATGTGACTTCTGTTAGCTCTTTTATCACACTTATTCTGGTTCAGTGCTTTAGATCTTATCCTACCTTGTCTGAGCTGAGAGATTAACACAGGCTTCCAGTTAGGATGAACCTGAAATTTGTTTAATTGCCTTCTTCCATTTCAAATTAAATATGAAATTAACAAGGTGCTGCGGGCTGCATGAAACATAGATCTCCTTTGGAAATAAATCAAATTTTTGATCTTTAAGGAAAGCAAAGAAATTAACAAAGTAAATGTTCTCTCTCTCTCTTTCCTTTTTTTCTCCCCAGTAGCTTAATTGTTAATTCACTCATAAAGAGACTGAGGTAGAAATCAAGCTCACATTTCCCTTTTTTTCTGTAAAGGGGTGGGTGTGTGATATCTATAAGTGAAGGCTTTTCCTGATCATGAAAACCAGACACAATTTAGAATGTATTTTCTACAATCACAGCTGTAGACTTGTGCTTGTAAAACATTTCAAGTCTTGAAGGTGTTCTTAATCAGTGTGATATTATTCTGGTGAGATGCTGTAGCATGCCAGGATGTTTCCTAGGGAACTGATGACAAGAAAACCAGAACAAGGAATTCATTTTGTGGAAATAAGACCTAAGAGAGGAAAGTTGAAAGAGAGTGCTGGACAGTAAAGCAAGGTTCTCTTTCATAAAGGAGAGGTTAGTGTGAAATTTCAGTTTTCTTTGTACTCCCACCATTTCATTGCTGTTGGTTTATTTCCCCCAGAGGCCTCTTTAATCCTGAAAGCCTGACTTAATTATCTTGAATTAATTAGTTCAATATAAAGCAGAGAACACTCAATATCAGTGGTTGACTTATGAGGGACCTGGGGTGAAGTTGTAGAAATGGGTATAAAAATGTGAAAGTCTTAACAAATGCTTCTGCAGGAGCACTTGCAGGGAATGGTAATGAGTTACTTCAGAGCCTAATGGCTTTGTTCAGGTGTTAACAATCTACAGAGTGACAGTTTCAGCTCCATTCTCTGTAGTGGGATATAACACTTAAGGCAGTTAATTGCCTAATAGATTTCTAATAATTTCTGCAAGGCAGATTATTAATGTATTCATTCCCATTCCCTAGAAATTTCACTTGTTCAGCATTTAATGTGCCCCTTGCCTTCACTTGCCACTTAGTGGAGTATTATATCACTGACCTGTTTACTACGTGTTAGTCTTTCCTTGGTTAGTATGTGTTGTGAGCAGGAAAAATGGATTACTGGAAACTTGGACCTGTGTGTTGCAATTAAAACCTCAATAAGTTTAGGCAGAATTCTGAATGGCCATTGAACATAAAGCTTTCCATTTTGGTAGTTGTATGTGGGAAGTCTTTATTAATTTCAGGTATTTGAAAGTCTCACAGACTGTGTTTTCCTTTGACAAGGATAGTGTTTTTGTGAACTCTGCTTGACTAGAGTTCATACTTTTGTTCCCTGCAATTAGAAGTTAGATGTCTTTGTCACCTTTTTGTCTTTATGCATTTTGTTGGAATATGAAAGGTATTGTTAAGATACTGAGATGTGGTAAATGCATGCCCAATTTAAAATCCCCAGGTTAAACTATAGAGATCATTAGGAGAATGTGTTACCATTAGCCTGCTACCACATGGAAGTAATCAATTATTCTGCCACTCACAAGCTTTATAATTTAGTTGGAAACTTCCCCTTTACATATAAATATCAGGTTGTGGTGAGCTTTCACAGCAAAAGTTAGGGGTTTTAACATCTTAGTAGAAGTGGTACCTAGAAAACTTCCAGAAGTCCAGCAGATGCTTGAAACAGATCTTTTACTGAATTTTAGGTGTCAGTATTTTTCATAGCAATTGTGCAAAAAGATATGCTGAATTTTCTTGGTGACACTGATGCTTGTAATAAAGGGAATTAAAAATAATAATTAGGTACTTTTCCCACTCCTGCCTACGCCAGGGTCCAGCTCTAAACAATATCTAGCCTCATGGAAAGCTTTTGTCCTCTAAACCCAGCAATACAGAACATGGAACATGCTCAGGTTACAGAGGCTCTTCTGCAGCTGTGCTTTCAGGTAAGCCGGTATTGCTGAGCAGTGAGCAGCCTGATTGATAGTGCTTAAATCAGAATGGGAGGGAGAGTTCTTTTCTCCCAATCCTCTCTACAAACTACAAAATTTTTTTTCTTTTGTATTTTTAATATTTTATCGAGGTGCCTAATGTTTCTATCCTAGACCATGTGGCTGGTTTATTTTTCTTATTTGACTGAAGCTGTTTCAGCTTCTTCATCTGTCCTGTACAGTCTGTCTGGACAGAAGCTTTCCTCCTGAAGTCACTTGTACAAAATGCATGTATTGTTGCACTGTGCTTTATAGGAAACTCTTCATGTTGTAAGCATTAGCATAGTAAACTGGCAGATATATAGACTTTGAAGACTGATTATAATAGAATAATGTTTCAAAGTATACAAAGAGACTTAAGTTATATGGGGTTTCTTTCCAATTGTTCATGTTAACTTTTTGCATTATAATATTTATCAGCTCAATAGATAGAATTTTTCATAGCATGAACCAGGATGGTGGTTTGTTCTGTGTGCTGCTAGAAAACTTGCTCATATGAAAAACATGCTGTAGTGGGTTTCTGTGGCTGGGTTTTGGTAGCGGGGGGCTACAGGGGTGGCTTCTGTTAGAAGCTGCTAGAAGCTTCCCCTGTTCCATGGAGCCAATGCCAGCCGGCTCCAGGATGGACTTCCTGCCGCTGGCCAAGGCCAAGCCAATTAGGAGTAATAGTAACGCCTCTGTGATCACATATTTAAGAACAGAAGATTGTTGCGCAGAAGAAATTCCAGCCAGGGAAGAGCGGAGTGAGAACATGGGAAGAACAATGCAGACACCAAGATGAGTGCAGAAGGAGGGGCAGGAGGTGCTCCAGGTGCCGGAGCTGAGGCCCTGCAGCCCGTGGTGCAGACCGTGGTGGAGCAGCTGTGCCCCTGCAGCCCTTGGAGGACCATCAGGGTGCAGAGACCCCCCTGCAGCCCATGGAGGAGCCCATGCTGGAGCAGGTGGATATCTGAAGGAGGCTGTGACCCCATGGGAGGCCCAAGATGGAGCAGGGTCCTGCCGGAGACCTGTGGCCCGTAGAGAGGGAAGCTCACGCTGGAGCAGGCTTTTCCCGGGTAGGACTTGTAGCCCCTGTGGAGGACCCACGTCAGTACAGCTCATCCTTGAAGGACTGCACCCCATGGAAGAGTGACACATGGGACAGCAGTTTGGGAAGAGCTGCTGCCCAAGGGATGGACTCACGCTGGAGAGGCCCATCAGGGACTGTCTCCTGTGGGAGGGACCCCACGGGAGCAGGGGAAGGACTCTTCTCTCTGAGCAGCGGCAGGAACAACAACTGACCATAACCCCCATTCCCTGTCTCCCTGCACTGCTGGGGGGGAGGAGGAAGAACATGGAAGGAGGGGTGGGAGGGGAAGGTGTTTTTAAGACAGTTTTACTTCTCAGTCTTTGGCTCTTATCCTGTTAGTAATAAATATAAGTACTATCCCCACTTTGAGTCTTGTTTTCCCCATGAAGGTAATCAATCACTGACCTCTCCCAGCTCTTATCTCTACTCATGAATTCTTAGCTGGTTTTTTCCTCTCTGCTCTGTCCAGTCACAGAGGGAGAGTGAGAGACCGGCTTTAGTGGGTACCTGGTATCTGGCCAGGGTCAACCCACTACATATGCTTTTAATAACGCAACTGGATTTTGTTTGTCAGCAGCATTTGGATTTGCATGCTTTAATAGTAAGGAACACTTTAGTAACATCAACGTGACAAATGTGGCACATTTAGTCCTATCGTGAGGCATTTTTTGTGTGTGGCAGCATTTCTGTTTTTCTAATTAAGTCAATGAAAGACCTAGTTCTGTTTTTTTTTTCTTGTCTTTCTGCAGTGTGGTTGGTAAATCTCAAACAGTCTTGCCCCAGATAGTGGTCAGTCTGTTTCATTTCTGTGGGAAATTGCTGACATGCATTGGCAAACTTTTCCAAACTTCAAAGCTTAGTCTATTAACTGTCAGGCTTCTCTGGTTCTGCCAGTGTTGTTATATATTTATGTCAAAAGGTATCTTTTTCCTCCTGTGTTCCTGGCCATGATGATTCTTTAGTTCTAGTTCAGTAATCATGGAGTTTAGTATCTAGTTCTATTTCTGAATTCCTTGTCCATTCAGGATGAAAGCTTTCATTGGTAAAAATAGGGTGAAAAGAAGCACTCAGGGACAGTTTCTCTGACTCTTTATTCTTCCTGCTTTTTTTTCTTGATTTTCTTTTTTAGTACTGTCTGACTTGAAAAGAGGCAAGTGTCTTCTTTTGAAGCTGTTGATTACCCTTGTTGGGCAATGCTGCATTTTTTCTTTAAGTAAAAGAAAAAAGATACCTTTCAGTCTATTCCTCTCTTAAGCACTTGAAAGTGTCCAGTACCCAGAGCTTTACTGCTAAGTAAACATATCTGTTTATATATCTATAATTATGTGGTCAGCTAGCCTGTAAGTATAAATAGAAAGAGAAGTTTTAATTTTGTCACTATGTGTCCTCTGATGTCTGTTATAATAATACTACTGTTCCTGTTTATTCAGAGCTAGCTTTGGATATTTTACTTGTATAACAATTTAAGCTATCTCATTGACCACAGTGTTACCAGCCATGAAGAACAGCAAAATTCAGTGTGTTTGGCCCTGCCATTTAGATTTCTATTTGTTTCTGGAACCTGACTGGTCTATTTTCCTTAGTATTATGGTATAAATTCTTTATAGTTGTGAGTTATCTTTCTGAGGTTTTCTACTTATAATTGTTGCTACTGTGCATTTTTCTCTACATTTCTGTGATATTGTGAAGAGTATCACAATTTTGAACAAACGTAGATTCACTGCAGTCTGTCTTTAGATGCATCTATAAATGAAGAGCCACTTGATTTCACAGACAGTCCAGGGATATTTAAGATAAGGCTTGAATTGTTTGGTAGCAGTATTACATCAGGAATTTAAAAACTTTGTGAGATTATTTTGACAGTAATTTTCAAGTTTCCAGGTGTCTCTATTGCAGAAAAATTCCACCCCAGCTGTGTAGATAGCCTACATACCTCTCAGATACAGTTCATCAACCACTGTCCTAAAACAAATTTAAAGCTTCACATTTTATACCTTCAGATTGACTGTGGGCAGTATTTTGTTACAGAATGAAATTTGCTTTCTTCCAGAGCTGTGCAGCTGTAGTGTGTCCAAGTGCCTTCATCTGAGGAGCTACAGAACCAATAGGTCAGGTCCTGTCATGAAAAAGAAACAAGCACCCACTCTTCTTTGTAAAATACGATACTGACTCCTCACTGTGAAATCAGGCTCAAAGCAAAGTGAGAAATTTAGCAGCTGCTCTTAGTTTTTCTTGAAAGGGCTCACATGCTTCCATGAGACTTGTGTTCACTGTCTTTAGGCTGCAAGAAACCTGACTGCTTGAAAATACTCTCATTCCTTCCACTTGCCTGGATATTATTCTCTGTGCCAGGGTGATGACTCTTTCCATGGCTGCTTATCCTCAGCTGTGACTGTAGATGAGTAGGTGTGAGTGGACTTGTTTTCACAAGCAACTTTGTTCTGGAGGCTACATCACAAAAGCATGAAGAAAACTCCACTGGGCAGAACTTGAAATAAACCATAAAAAATATTTTTACTATGCTGGCACTAGATGCATAGCAGATGTAGTTACAGTAAAGGAGTTTTGTATGCATTATCTTCTGGGACAAAAGAAGACAGTGTAGCTGACCTGATGCTTCTCAGGAGTTGAGAGTCTTTATAGAGCAGTGCTCTGGTGCCACCTCCTTATTCAGACCCTTGGACTTGAAGCTTGGCACTGCCAGATGATACAGGCAAAGAAATTATTAAAGTGTAAAATGAGGCACTACTGTGTAACACAAATTACTGTAGAAAGAACACAGTCTAATTTATAAAACTCATCAATGTACTGGGCTTTTGTTACTGTAAGAAAAAAAATCTATTTTTCTTAGGCATATTGAATAATGATACTGTAACAATATTGTTTTCGTAATACATCCTTCTGTGATTTTCATTTAGTTACATAACTGCTAAGCTTGTTGAAATGGCCATATTTGAAAAGATGTGCTTTGACCTTCTGTGTAGTGAAGTATTATCTTAATAAGCTTTAAGATCTCCTCATCAACTGTGTTCAATAGTGTTTGAAAGTGAACAGGTTTTTATGTCTGTCAATAAGAATACATGAACTTAATAGATAGAACAGTATAAATAGTGTTGAAAATGTGACGATGTTCCTCCACTTCCTCAAAATTGCATCAGATCTCCTTCCCATAATGGATGTCAGCAATGTATTTTCTTTCAGCTCCAAGTAAAAGTAATTCTTCCCACTGAACAGCTACTTCAGTGTTCACTGCTTTGTTGAGAAGAAGGGAAGTTCTGTAGTCATCTGGAATAAATTCAATTTTGTGCAAGGGAAGGACTTATGTATCTGTCTCATTCAGAAACTAGTGGTGCCTTTGGACACAGTGCTTGTTTGCCTAAGGGAACACAGATATGTTTCTTTCTGCTTTCTTTTGATGTTTCTGACCAAATAACTGCTTACTTGAGGGTGAGGGGCATTTTGGTTTATCTGTTACTGTCAGAAGAGTAGTTTAGGAAATTGGTTTTGCCTTTTATTTTGATAAATCTAAGGTTTGTTGCTGTCCTCATCCCTTCTGGAAATGATCCTTGCATTTTTTGTGTTCATCATGGAAACAAGAGTTTGAAACATGTAACTTGAAACTAATGGTTCTGTCACTTTTGAAAAGCAGTTTCTTCCAGAGGTGAGACATTTCCAATGAAGAGGTCTAAAGATAAGGATGGGAGCTTTAAATTTGACCTGTTATTTAGTGGAGAGTTAGTCAGAGAAGAATAAATGGAGAGGAGATGTGCTGAGTGACTGGTTGCTGAGGAACTGCCGTGCTGTCTTTCAGTTTGGTGGAAGCCTTTCCAGGATTTGAAGCTGTGGTGTGTTCAGTTATCTGCTCCATTGCAGTCCAAGTTGTGAGGCCTAAAGGTGAAAGAGCTTGTGATCATTCTGATTAAGTCCAGCTGTGGCTGGAATGGAACCCTGTGAGCTCTTCTGGCCTTCTGAATGTTTGGGAAGAATGATAAATTCAGACGAATACCAAAATGGGTAGCTTAATGTTCTGTAGGGAGATTACATTGGATATGGGTGATAGTTGAAAGGTGGTAGGGTTTTTTAACACCTTCGAGGTGTTTATGGCAGTAACATCCCCAGCTGGGAGGAATCCCACTTCTTGGCAGTTCCTGCATAGACTTTGAGGCAATTCTTGTCATGTGCCTCATTTGGTTTACTCAGGAATTGGGAATTTACAGACAGTAAATAAATAGAGGAGTTGAATAAATGGATAGCCAAATATGGTATGCTTCAAAGTGCTTCTCAAAAGATTTTTAAAAGGGAATATGACATAGCTGAAAAACAAGGAAAAGTTAAATTTGCCCTTATCTTACAAACCCAGCTTGTTAGGAACAGCTTTGTATCATGTTATTAATTGTCTTACTCCTTATTCCTTCTTAGCCTTCATGAATGGGACTGGATATCTTTGGCTGGTTACTGCTGCTTCATTTGTCTTTGTCACTGAAACCCCTGTAAGAGAAACTATTCCTTTTGGCAGCCAAGCAAAAAAAAAAAAGTCCAAAAGTGTACAAAGTAGTGAAACCTCTGTACTAAAAGTGTGTTCCTTTGTGATTGGTGCTGATACACATCAACAGGAACTTGTCCTGTCAGAGGGGAGAAGGGGTTTCATTTTGCCAGGGCTGTTAGTTTGGGGTTTTTATGGGAACCAAGTATATATTAAGGAAATATTTCAGTTTCCCACAAAATTCATAAAGTCTCATTCCACTTGTTTACATTAAAACCTCCAAATGCAGTTCACATGACATTATTTAGTAACACACAAAATGACTGCTGTGTGACCTTTAGAATTTGATAAAAGTAGTATGTAATTATGGACAGGTTAAACCAATAGAAAAAAAATAATAATTACTTTACTGAGTGAGTAAAGCCCTAAAAAGAGGGAGAGTAGATCAGTTTAGCTGTTATCCAGCCAAAGAAAATAAGGGTCAAGATCTCAATAGTAGCAGA